GGTGTTTTTGCGCGGCGATATACATCAGATGCTGGCAAGGTAGATGGTAGGTGCAATAAAATAGGCAGGAACAGCTCCACTCGAAGTCGTTACACTGGAAAATGCTTCCTTGCGTGCTTATTTCCCATTGACCCACGTCACTTAGTCGTTTGGCAAATGTGTTCTGAGCCAAAATCACCATAAAATAATCCCACTGGTCCCGCACTTTCGCTAGCGTGTCGTCGTTCATGTGTTTCGTCAAAAGAGAAAGAAACGTGGGGACCCGAACTGGTTGGCGATTAGTAGTCGAGTGCTTGCGCATGGCAGCGATCTGCTGTCGAATAACCGTTGACTGGTGTGCCAATACACCACTAATCGTGAAGTCAATTCGCGGTTTCTTCCCAAGGAGCAGCTTTACCTGATTCCAATTAGACTCGATGCGGTTGGTCGTCGTATTACCAACAGTGAAGAATTTTCCTCGAGCGTGGTTTGCCCACATGGAACTACATGGTTTCCAGTTTCTTTGAAAATACTCCAGCAGCTTGGGGCACTCTTCTTCACACCTCCGGGTAAACACGTCTACTTCAGCGTCAAACTTAGACTGTAAGTTGCTGGAGACATAGGTAATAAATAAAATAAGCAACACAGAAAGCAACACAACATTAAAAATTCTTACCAATAAATCAATTTCGCAAAGGCAGTCTCCATCGCATCTCTTTGAGCCATCTTCAGATCATATTTGGGACGTCGGCAGACCTTCCGCCAATACGTCAACGCGTGAAATTGACACAGAAGTATCTTAGCGTTCGGGAAAGCTTTCTCGAGAACCCGCCATTCGACAAAGTCCTTATCGATGACGACACTTTGAACACTGCGCCAAGTTGGGTTTTTCCGCTTGAAAAATTCGATGATGTACTTCATCGTAGCTGCCTTCTGATCAAGAGCAAGGAAATCAATAACTGGAATTCCTCTTCCCGTTGCTGATGTTGCAACAAGACTGCCTATAGAACGGTGACACATTTAGTTAATTTTTTAATGTTATTTTCGTCAGAACTACAAACACCTGAATTGGACATACCTAAATGGTACCCCAGATTGTTGGTTCCATGTGTCCAGTCCATTACCAAGCTGTCTCCCCAGGTCTCGAAGCATGTCTTCTGAATTGACGATTGCATCGCAATGATACAAGTAATATCAAGCTGATCCTGGACGAGAAGTACATCATTACCATTATCCTCGTCGGCAAAATTGCTCAGGATAACCTTGGATCTCTCAGTACTCGACTCGCCGAGCACTTGTCGCACAAGATTTCTTGTCAGCTGAGGTGTAAGCACCATATCTGTATCCGAAATCATATCAAAATTATCATTAAATTGACAAAATACGTCAGAAAAAATATACAACTGCAAGTAAATAGTAGCACCCACCGAGCTTGTCCGACAAGTATCGATTAATGTCAGCCGTACGCGTCTTCATCTCGGTCAAAAGACCAAGTTCTTGGCGGACTTGCGGGGTGAGTGGCATTGACTTCGCCCCACGATACGAGTCGTAGATTGTTACATTGGTCTTGTGGTTGTGTAGCGATATCTGTGAATCAATCAGATTAATATCTCTTTCAGACAGGGTAATTAAATAGAGACTCACCTCCGTTCCTGGTGCAACGATCACTTGCCATGTGGCTTGACCATCCACGATGACACGGTCAGAGCGAACGAGGAAACCTGCTTCACAACCGGTAAAGCGTCTGTAGCTGCACATGGTAGCAGCACACGTACTTGGACGCGTCGTCTTCAATCAGCTTGCAGTAGGAGTTACAAGCTCATGACAAAGAGCTACTTGCAATGAAGTATGCTCTAGTCAAATTCAGGGTACACCTGCTTCGCTCTA